TTGCACTAGTGCGCACTGAGTGCGCATTAAGGCTTGTTTACAGTACATTCTTATATTTAAGATCGTGTCTTAAATACATATTTAAAAACATTTTAACTAATAAAATGATTTGTACGGATGTTATACATATCATATTATGGTTAAAAATATTTGAGAATTTATTTGAGAATTATTTAAGACAATTTTTAAATATAATAACATACTATGAACAAGCCTTAGTGCGCACTCAGTGCACACTAGTGCAAGCAACCGAATTCGCTATAAGTTACGTCTAGTCTAAATACACGTCTAGAAAAATAGCAATTTAGACGTCTTCTATTTTAAGTAAATTCTAATGTTTTAGAATTCATTCATAATATATTGACCATTAAAACAGAGTTTTCGATAAAATTTCGGAATTTTATTTTGTCGATTATTTACAATCTCTCTAGACGTCTATTCGATATTGAATCGACGTCTAAATCCCAGTGAGAAATGACTTATCGATCGATGTCGAAAAGACGTCGATCAATAAGTTATTTCTCACTGGGATCGTGCGCGTTTTGCATAAAAAATTTATTCTAAGTAGAAACATCAGTTTTTTTTAGATTTCCGATTCAATTATAGTATTACAAAGATAGGAATGTCAGATTACTCGAGGAACATTAAACTAGAAGGAATGATCAAAGTCATTTTGCAAATAACTACATAAACTTTAGAGATATTAAATAAAATAGACAGGCGAATCAACGCGTTATAATATACTGTGAACACTGTAAGTATATATTTTATAAGCATAAATTGTAAGAACATCATTGAAGTCATTGGAACACCGCGTGCTGCTCGATCGTCAGGTTTAGCAACGCAGTCAGAATGGATGGATGGGTGACGACTTTGAATTTGAAATTCGAGGCAGAATTCGCGAAAGTTTTAGCGTGTGTTTGACAATCTTCGTTTTTTAGCAGTTTATAAGACATAAAGAAAATTAGGAATTAGTTATTTTTATGAAACAATTTAGTGAGAAATGACTTATTGATCGACGTCGAAAAGATGTCGAATCGACGTTGAAATAACGGTCTGTTAGACATCGATAAGACGTCGAAATGAGGGAGCGGTGTACTTGGACACGGTGCATTTGGACACAGCCAATCACAGCACCGTGTGATTAGAGACATTTGTAGGGTCCCTTGGAACAGCGACTTGTGATTGGACTGTGTCCAATTGCCCCGTGTCCAACTGATATACACTCTCGAAATGACGGTTTATTAGACATCTAAATGTAGACCGTTTTTAGGTCGATATAGATCTTAATCTAGATTAGACGTAGATGGTAGATAGACGTTTCATATAGACGTCTAGTAGACGTCGAATCGACGTAACCTTTCTCGTTAGGGAGATTAAAAGTATGATAACGAGAATGTACAACCTGATTTATTTATAAGATTTATTTATTTATAAAAGTATACATTTGGACATTCGAGGTAATGCGATGCACATACAATCACTTTCTCACTATTTATCATCAGCACCAATATTTTCATATGTACTAAAAATATATTTTATTGCAAGTAATGCAAATTATGTATCTATATTCGTATTTGCGTTAAACAAATCTGATACTTCCCTAATTATCCCTAGTTAATAGCATAAAAACGAAAGATATATGCAAAACAAATATATGTATTATATTAAAAAAATATTAATTACATGTTCTAAGGTGAGAAAAAAATACCGCACACAGCAACTACGGGAGCGGTGCACTTGGACACGGTGCATTTGAACACAGCCAATCACAGCACCGTGTACTTAGAGACATTTGTAGAGTCCCTTGGAACAGCGACTTGTGATTGGACTGTGTCCAATTGCCCCGTGTCCAACTGATATACACCAAGCAACTACTCGTCCCCGGGATTTGAACGCTCGCTGCTGGCTCAAAAATAATCGATGTGGAAGCCTCAGAGTGCGATTAGATATATCGCGGTATGCGGTATGCAGTACGCGGAACATGGTAAAGTAAGTAGAAATCGCGCGCGGTGAGCCGCACCTGTTTTCTTTCTTTTATTACATGCAGTAGAAACTTGCGCGGAAAAGCGACACGGGCTAGTGATAAATTCTCATTTGTTTTCATTTTCTAAAATGTATTAACTTATTTCTATATATATTTTACTAATATTCTTATTTTTTCAACAAATTTACTTATTAATTGCATTTAAATCAATTAATTCCATTTAAAAGTGCATAGAAATGAGAATTTATCATTAGCCCGTGCGCTTTTCGCGCAGTTTCTGCTCCATGTAATAGGAGGAAGAAAACAGGCGCGGCTCATCGCGCGCGGTTTCTAGTTACTTTACCGCGTTCCGCGCACCGCATACCGCATACCGCGCTACATCGGGAGCGGTGCATTTGGACACAGCTAATCACAGAACCGTGTACTTAGAGACATTTGTAAGGTCCTTGGAACAGCGATTTGTGATTGGACTGTGTCCAATTGCCCCGTGTCCAACTGATATACACCCCGCTACATCTAATCGCACCCTCAGTCTGCTCAGCCACGCCGCTTTTTTGAAAGATAGCCGCAACTTTAATCATATGTGTGATATAGCCCCGTGATCTAAATTTTATACTGTAATTTCTTACAAACAAAGGCCCATTGGCACAAACCCCGTTAAGCCCGTATCAGACTACAGATTAGGATTGAGATTGAATTGAAATTTAGCCAATCAGAGCAAAATTCACTAAGCTCAAATTTGGTGAACTTTTTTCTAATTGGCCAATTTTCAATTTAATCTCAATCTTAATCCTTAGTCTGATACGGGCTTTAGGATATTGATGTATCACAGCTAAGGCTGCATTTAGATTCCCCACCCAGGTGTATTCTATTACTAGAAGTACTATAGTATATGTAACATATACTATAGTGTTTTTAGTAATAGAGTGCACCCAGATGAGGAATCTGAACCTAGCGAACGTGCTATCATTCGTTCAGAAATTGATTTAGCAGGTTGTGGCACATCCTTGTGAGTAAATTTTCAGATGCAAAAAAGTGAGAAATCTGATAAAAGAGCTAAATTTAATTTAAAATCAACATAAGTTTAACTAGTTGTAATCGTTTCTACAATATATATTTTTCAATATTTTTTTTAACCAGTGTCATACATCATTGTTACGTCATTTTATGTAAAAAATGACGTTTAAAATGTCGTGATTAATTGGTTAATTTGAAGGATAAATGACGTAACAGATGACGTAAGTCATGTCATTTCACGCTACCTGGATATGTCACCATGGCCCTGATTCTCGAAAATATATTGCATATGACATTTAGAAAAGCTATAGTTCATGTTACGTATACTATAGTTTTTCACTAAATGTCGTATGCGATATATTTTCGAGAATCAGGGCCCATATTATACAAAATCACTGCAATATTACAGATAGATTATTGTAATATTACTGTAATATTAATGAAATATTGTGGAAATATTTCATTCGCGGACATTTCACATTGCAAAAATATTTCTGCAATATTATTAATACATTGCTTGTAATATTATAGCAAGTTGTAAATTACAATATTGATGCATATTATATTGTTGTGTTGGTATATGTGTTATATTATATAAAAAGAGTCACTAAAGAGTGAAATAAATATTAAAACATGAATTTATTAAAAACTATTCTGAACATAAAATAAACTGCTAAAGAATTCTTTTCAAATACATGTAACATGTATTTGAGCTCTTTCGGAATCATTATTTGAACACATTTTTGCTGACATTCCTTGTTATACTTAAGAATTCATTAGGAACTTTTTAGTCACTGTTTCTGAAAAAAAAAGAGGGATTCATTCCTCTTTTATTAAATTTGGCAAGATCTTTTTAAGAACTTGTGCCATCTGGGTAATATATTAATAAACTTGTGTGTATATGTTTATTACATATTACATTATTATTGTTATTATTTCAGAAGATAACTATCAAGTCAGTGAGAATTATAATGCTGATGATACAGATCATGCTTCCAGTGATTTAGAATACTTAGAGAACATAGAGAGTTTAAAAAGAATTCAGTTATGTCACCAATTCTGAGTTCATTTTTAGGTGCAAAAAGAATTCTTTTCACTGAACTAAATTCACAAAATAAACAAATTCACTGAACTCTGAATTCTTTTTGCATCTAACAATGAACTCATAATTTTGGTGACATACGACTGAATTTTTTTCGAATTCTCTATGTTATTTGGAATAAGAACTTGTTGAAACTAATTAGTTCTTACTTTGTAGCATACATACAGATATCAAGAAAAATAAAATTGCATTTAATAGAGAACATTTGAATATACTTTTTTGTACAATGAAAACGTATATAATTTCAACTTTATATAAATAATAAAGATCAGACGCTCTAATGATATATATTTCCAAAATGTGCACCATTACTATTTGAACAAAAATCAACTCTTTTATGAAAACTATATAAAACGTTGTACAAACATTCACTTGTTATGTCAGTAACTACTTTCTTAATGGCTTCAATCAGCTCCTCTTTCGTTTTTGGACTTTTGGAGTAACAGTTGTCTTTGATATATCCCCATAAAAAAAAGTCGCACGGATTTAGATCTGGAGAATAAGGTGGCCACTCTATTCCTCCCTGGAAAAACTTTGGACAACTCAGGCCAATTACTCGATCCTCGTATACTTCATAAATTGCTTCAAAAACTTCCCTTGTACGGTGAGGTGTCATTCCATCCTGCATAAAATAAAACTTTTCAACCAGGTCGTTTTCCTTTGCAAAGGGGAAGAATTTTGTTTGCAACAACTCTTTGTAATTCTCTGCAGTGATAGGTGATTCCAAGAATTCAATGTAAACTCCTTTCACTGAAAGTGCTGCCCACACTGTTACTTCCTGTAGATGTAGAGGTTTTGATAAAGAAACTTGTGGGCTTTCCTGCCCCCAAAAATGGCAATTCTGCTTATTAACATATCCATTTAACCAAAAGTGTGCCTCATCGGAAAAGATTATTTGATTCTCTTTAATTTCTTTACTTTCCAATAACTGTGCCATTGTCTTGCTGAACTCTACACGTTTCTCCTTAGCTCGTTCTGTTAACAACTGATGGGTTGTCACTATGTAAGGATGCAGCTTCAAAATCTTCCGTAGAATTCTGTGCAGCGAAGTTTTCTTGATTCCGAGTACTTGAGCTACTTTTTTAATGGAGACATTTGGATTTTCATCAAAATAATTCTCGACGTTGTCCAATATTTGTTCCGTTGCTCCCACGTACGAAGGGCCCAGTATTTCGCGTCTAGGATCTTGAACAGTACCGTGTAGTATAAAATTATCGATCACACTGCAATGTGTATAAAATTATTTTAATAGATTAAAAACGGATGATAAAATCACAAGAAAAACTGAGGGATCATGAATATAAACAAATAAGTTTTCCTTACCTTTTCAGAGTATTTTCATTGGCAATCCTATGTACTCCATATTTGTTACGAAATTCTCTGTACGCACTGGAATATACTTTTCCTTTAGAGTAGAAACACTCAATAAGATAAATTTTTTCTTCTGTTGTGAGGTCACTCATTTTTTTACTCGTTCTTGATTCGAAGTCAGAATAAAATCAGCGGCACACGATTCTTGTTTTCGTGCTGGATTGCTTGCTGGATGGAAATACTCTATTTTGATTGGTCCGTCTTCAGAAATGCAATCAGAACAGAGTATTTCCATCCAGCAAGCAATCCAGCATGAAAACAAACATCGTGTGCTGCTGACTTAAGGGTGCGTTCAGATTCCCTACCCGGGTGCACTCTATTACTAGAAACACTATAGTATATGTTACATATACTATAGCACTTCTAGTATTAGAGTGCACCCGGGTAGGGAATCTGAACGTAACCTAAAAGGGTGTATATCAGTTGGACACGGGGCAATTGGACACAGTCCAATCACAAGTCGCTGTTCCAAGGAACCCTACAAATGTCTCTAATCATACGGTGCTGTGATTGGCTGTGTCCAAATGCACCGTGTCCAAGTGCACCGCTCCCGACTTAAAATTCTTTCTTTTTCTTCTCTTTCCCTCTCTGGTTTTAGTTGTAGGACGTCCTTAAGACGAAATTCTCAAGGTGCAAACTAGAGATGCCCGATTCTTAATCGATTCGATTCTTTCCCTAACAAATTTAAGGAGAAAGGGTTGTTCGTGCTGCTGCGGGAGCGGTGCACTTGGACACGGTGCATTTGAACACAGCCAATCACAGCACCGTGTACTTAGAGACATTTGTAGGGTCCCTTGGAACAGCGACTTGTGATTGGACTGTGTCCAATTGCCCCGTGTCCAACTGATATACACCCTCGTGCTGCTTGCATGTTTCATACTTTTCGTTTTTAAAAAGAGATGATCAGACGCTTGGAAGAAACAATCGAGTTGGTTGTCTCGTTTTTGCTTCTTCGAAACATTCCAATATACTTTTATCTAATTTTAAATACGAAAAGTGCGAAGAGTGCAAACAACACGAATAAAGGTACCTTTACATGGGAGCATCGAGCGTTAAAGCATTAAAGCGGTAGCCAATCAACGTGCCACTTTCCGCAAGAACTATAAGTATACTTCTGGGACCTGATACGTTGATTGGCTAACGCTTTAACCCTAGACACTGGAACGATCCCATGTATTGGTACCTTCAGCCTATTTTTGGGGAAAGAATCGAATTGATTCAGAATCGGGCATCTCTAGTGCAAATCCATGCAGTGGAATAGTGGAGCGCAGAATGAGAGCAGAACCAATCATGAGCGTTCCACAGTTTTCGCTCTGATTGCTTTGGCTCATAATTGGTTCCGCTTTTGTTCTACGCTCCGCTATTCTGCTGTATGGGTTAGCACCATCGACATATAGAATGGACCTAAATGAAGTGGTGGGGATAGGAACAGATTTAGGGCTGCGTTCAGATTCCCTACCCGGGTGCATTCTAATGCTAAAAGTGCTATAGTATATGTGACATATACTATAGTGTTTCTAGTAATAGAATGCACCCGGGTAGGGAATCTGAACGCACCCTAGAGTGAGAGGCAGACAATAGTAGGACACTTTCCGTCTCTGTTTACTGAAGTCTGATTGGCTGCAGGAAATTCAGCAATACTGTATCCTACGAAAGTCAGGCCCCAAAAACTAGACGCGAGAATATTACTTCATGCTATATCTCTGGGTGTTTACGTTAAATCGAGTACGAGTTAGTTCCACTAGGGTCGAAAAATGTAATAGGCACAACCATTTAGTATCTTCATGGTTCAAGACAACTCAATACTGCTTTCCGATGCTCGAGTAGAGTTAGTTAGAGTTAGCTGGAGTAGCGTAGCGGATAACGTGAGCATTAGGTAGA